ATTTTACCATAAATCCAACTTCCTTCTCAACTTTAAATACAGTACATTAGGTTTTATTATTTACACCATAGAATATATAGATACACATCATACGGCAAATAAGTAGCAAATAAAGATTTGGAAAGTGATTTTGGTTTTTGCCCTTCAAATTAATTTGATCTAACAAGGTAAGATTACGATGTACAAGTGGTTTGTCACGTTTAATTTATTTCTTCACGTTGATAAATATTATGCTAATGAAAGTTATGATATGATATGATACGATACGATACGATATGTATGTTATGGTCATCCGGTACCAAAGATATGATATTTATTGAGCTCTTACAGGTTTCTAAATATATGATAGGACGGTATAAAATTTTTGACACATGATTTAATATTTTTTATTCGGGATTGCACAAAATATTCATGTCCTACTGAGTATTCTCATATACTCATCATTTTCCTTACATCTCACATATTAAAACGAGTCGTTGGATGGTAGGCGATGAGGTGCAGTCGTCGTGTTTAGATTCATTGGACTTAATAAATTAAATCCGTTGTAACGTGACTAAAGATTTTACTTTCAGCATTTACTTAAATTTTATTATTAGGTGGGTCTTTTATTTAGGATTTGGAACAGAAGTTGTTTGAATTTAAAATTCCGTGGGTGACTTGATGAGTTCAATCTAATTTCATTTATGTTGGTCTTCTTTATTCAAACTTGTTTCTATCATGTTAGATCTTCTTTACTGTTAAAAGTTTCAGTTTAAAAATAAATATGATGATTTGGAGTTTTAACCATACAGTGAGTATTTTTGGCAAACTAGTTCATGGTCTCCATGCACATTCAATTAAAATGATTAGTTATAATAATTGTAAAAGAAATTTGTCACATTACCTATGTCAAAATTTAGTGTTAATATAACCAATGATAATTATTATTCATCCATAAATAAATAAATGATTTGCAAATTTTCTGTGTAACTTCGAGTATACATAATGTTATGTAAAAATTTATGTCATGATGCAAAATTTTATTAAAACTTTTGGTAGCGACTTAAATTATAAAATTTGAGTCGTTACATCTCGTATGTTTGATGAGGGTTGAATAGAGTAATGCTACTTGCAGTCGCTCACTGCAGCAGTCGCCCTATGTGGCACACACATGTCAAGTGTGTATTTGATGCATTAAATATTATAAAAAACTATCACATTAATGCATCAAATAACTACATGCCATGTGTGTGCCACATAGGGCGAATGCTGCAGTGAGCGACTGCAAGTAGCATTACTCGATTGAATAGGACTCTCCAACGTAGTTAGTATTAAAGAAGTAAAAAATGAACTAAAATCTTATTAATTGCATTACCACATGTGCCTATTAACAATGAATTTTATGGTATACATATATACTGCATACATCATCAGATGGTTCAGATTGTACCAAGAAAATTTGTGCAAGTGATCAGGCTTTACAAGGTTGTCCGCAAGAACTGTACAACAAAATAGAGAACTGCAAGAAATAGTGCAATCTGGTATACATCTCTTTGGAATCCGTCATCTCTCTGGAAAAACTGGATCAAGAAAATATAGTATTTGTCAGTATGTGTAATTTACATAGTAATTTCAGAAGAAACACAGATATACATGTTTGGTCGAGAGGATTATATAGTAATCGACATTATTGTATTCAGAAGGAAAAAGAAAATGTCAAAATAGACTGTACATACCTTTGTTGGATCACCAGAAGGGTCTGGATAGATCTCCAAATTCTTATTCTCTGTAGTAACACGGTTCTTGAGGTCTTTAACGAAATCTCCAACATCTTTTCCAGCCTCGACTGTAGAAAAGAGCCTTCGTGATGTCCAGAAGTACGCTTGAGCATTGAGAGACGAAGCTGACAAATCCCAGGATTCTTCATGCTCGATCACTTGTCCACTTATCTGATTCAGAGTAAACTTGGAGTTCACTTTCACTATCAAGTCTCCTCCAAGACTGAAAAGTGGTGATTTAGGCTTCCCTTTTATTGTCCAATTGATATTTAATACACTAGTTGATAGCATCACCATCTGCTGCACACTCTGCAGATACAATTACATGAATCAACACAAGCTCCTTTATTCACTAAAAATCAGATTTCAGAAAAAAAGCATGCTCTTAACGTGTAGAACTCACAACTGTGGGATTGTCTAGAGCATTGGTTGCCCACAATTGTCTCTTGTACTTCTCTCGACCAGTAAAACTTCTAACTGGATCCTGCAATTACTTGCAATAAATTTAGAAACTAAAACACCAGAACTTATGTGGCCTATGAAATAGCAAATTGATGCCATCATGCCAACAATGTTACCAGAAAGAATATATTCAAGGTTTAAAACTCAATAATCAGAAAGCAAAAGACTTTAAATTGTAATGCATAAGACTAGATATACAAAATCTCTTCAGGTAGAGATGATATCACAATCAAAGGCAGAACTAATGCATTCATGATGCTGAATCTACTAATGTATTGCTGTGTTGAGGCAAAGATACAGGTAAATACCTTATATTTGACAGAAACGGCAAAGGTCCCTAGAGCACGATTGCCTTCGCGAAGTTCTAGGATGTCACGAACAAGTTGTCTTGCTGTAGCTTCAATCGAGGGACTGCTGATGCACTCAAACTCGTTACAAAGTTCACCAAAGTCCATACCGTCTACGAGCTTGTCGGCCTCTGATCTTTGAGAGGTTTCATCAGGGGACACATCAGTTCTACTTGAGTCATTTGTAACTGCAGCAATATCGAAGCTGTCTCAGTTAGACAAGGCAGTCTTAACGATATAGTTGTTACAGATTAAGCCATCATTTCATCTCACGAGAGCAATAATAAAATTGAACGTAACCTGAAACAAACGAAGAAATCACAGATTTATCGTTGTTCATCCTCAATTTGATAGCTACATCACTTGGTGCCAGTGTGTCACCATATTGGAGGAGAAGGGTAAAAGTTTTCTCACACCCCTCACACACGGATAACTCTCTTAAAAAATGTTCTGTATAGTAGGAATATGTGGGCAACCTGGTATGTGTATGGATCTGCGGTCGAGGGGATAAGCCTGTAAGGTGATTAGTCTCCATGCAGTGCAACAAGATTTAGATAATTGAACGGGGTTCGATTGAATTTCATAAGCAATGAGCCCTGTCGAAACAGTAATATGTTCAAACTCTTGATATAGTTAACAAGTCTAAAAATCGTTAAAGTTCGCTTGTTTATTTTTCAGCCTTGAACAAGCTCTTTTCCAGCCAAATTCAAGTCGAGCCCAATCAGCTTAGATATAAATGCGTAGCTCAAGTGTGTAAAATATAAGATCAAGTTCTCTTTCTAATGTTCAATTTATATACAACATTAAACTTTCTTTCCTCTCTACTTACTGATATAAAAACCAGAAAATTCTGTGTCGTCTTTCGTTCCCTTATCCTTCATTTTTCTTCAATGTGAGCATCATAGAGTTATTAGCTCTATGACAGAGAATAATTAACTTAAACCGAGTCTGATATGCAACAATCAGAAAACTAAAGAAGAAGAAACGAGAAATGCTTGGCTGAATCTCCTGCAGAGTCCATTATACTGGTATGACGTGAAGATTATATTGACTGCTATTCATAACGAATATAATAAAAATCTGTAACCATCTAAAAGAATAACCAGAAAGGCACAAATGAGGATATAATGCTAGACGTGTTAAAGCAAAACATAAAATGGAATTCTGTTATGTATAGCCTTCGAATGCATTTGCCACCTATTAGTGTTAAAATATGTCCCACATGAACAAGGGTAATATGGACATTATTTGGACTTTATAGGATAAGGTGGTTATTGGCTTTGAAATTGAAATGCACGGTTG